TTGAAATTTTTCATAGAAATCCAATTCAGATCAGTCAGACCCAACATATTTTTAAACCATTTCCTTCTCATTTTTTTCCCCTCTAAAAAAATCATAATATATCTTCTAAAGATGTTTAAGATTAAAGTTTACACTATGAATTATCTATTGCTATTTTTTAAATGAATATAATTGAATATTAACATATGTGAGGTCAGTTTATACCTTTTGAAAATGTTTTTAGGCTTTTAAAATAAAAATTTTCCTAAATAATTCTTTCTTATTTATTTGCTCATGTTACTTAGGAAAGCACGTTATGCTTATTGTCCAAATATCAATATCGTTGTTAATTATTGGTTATTTGAAATTTGATAATTTGTCTATTTGGTTGTTTTCTTATTAAGAATGGTTGATAAGAAATATCTAAAAAAAAAAAGTAAGATCAGTGATCTTACATAAGAATCTTTGTTAACTTCTTACCTATTAAAATTACGTGATATCACTCAAAATAACATTTTCATTGATTTAAGTCTAATATTTCATATTCATAAGATATATTTAACAATCTAAATGTGTAAAATATATATTTTATGTAATTTTAAAAAAGTGACCGAATCTTTACGATTCACGATTCGATTCGATTCGATTCGATTCGCGATTCGGTACAAGGTCATTTCGATTCACGATACGAATCTCGATTTGACTACTATGGTTTCACCCAAGACCGTATAACAATTACAAGTTTAAATAAAATAATTTTAAATTCAATGATAAAAGAAAAAATAAGTAAATTTATACCTATTCTTCATTTGGACTTTAGAATTAGTTTTACATTATATTTTATTATTATCTTTGAATTAAAAAGTCATAAACTTGACATGTAATAATTGTTTATCCTTATATATAACATAATAAACACACAAAAGTATAACCCCAAGGGGTTGGCCTAGTGGTCAAGACTTTGGGCCTGGGGGTGTGTTCACTCTAAAGTGTCAGGTTCGAAACCTTTTAGGTGCAAACAATTTCTTGGAACCAGTCCATACTTGGGCTCCTCGCTAGTGGATGGTACGATTGGTCTCCCAAATTAGTTGGTCCAATAGGCCAGATACCAAGTTATCAAAAAAATAAAATGAATAAATTCATAAAACTATATAGTTTTTGAGTGTCCCTTAGACGTCATATCCTAAATTTTTTGAAATTTATTGGGTCAATGTGTCGTGTTGTGTCCATATTGTGTTACATGTCCATGCCCGTTAGGGGAGGACCTTATTGGGATATGCTTGTGAGGGGAAGATTTGAGTGATTGAAGTACTACTTCCTATGGGTTTGTGTATGGTATGAGGAAAGGTTGGGGTGAATTTCCTTATTAGGAGAACGATGAAGAGACTTTGGGCATGGTGTTTGGTTTTGAAGTCATTGTCCCATTCTTAATAGGGTATAGTAGCACAAAAGAATGCTGCAATGGCAGATTAAGAGATTATAATAGGCGAGAGAGTGATGGAGTGGTAGGGATGTCAGACATAGTATCTTGGTTTTTGATTAGAAGAATAAGGTGGTGTGTCCTTTGAGACATAAAGTGATCTTTGTGAGAAGTGGAAATGATGAGATTTAGTGGCTTGCCACTAAAAATGAAACAGTTAAGTTTAAATTGTTCTATAAAGTCCTGGTGGGTACCGCAAATATTTCATTGCCCTTAGAAAGGAGTTTGAAGCGCTAAATGCCCTTCAAGGTTGCATAATTGTAATGGTTGGTTGAGGCATATAGGAAATTTAAAGGGGAGAATTCCGGGGCTTTTCCCATATTAGGCCTCTTTTACATCTTATTTCCCAAACTAGGCCTAGTTTGGACGGATTTCCCAAACTAGGCTAAAGCGCTATTACAAATCGCGCTTTCACTGTTTGGAGTCCCAAATTTGATGAATAGTGAAAGCGCTATTAAGAAACGCGCTTTTAATTAAGAAATCGTTATTCCAAATCGTGCTTTTAATATAAAAAATTTTTTCTGAAAAAAACGCTATTTGAAATCGCGCTTTCACTGTGCGTATAATTTTTTTTTTTATTTTTAGAAAACGTTATTTCAAATAACGTTTTTACTGTTGCAACACAAACCAAAACCAAAACCAACCCACACTATCACTCTGACATAGGCACACACCCACACACACTGAAGCATTGAAATAATATAATTTATATATATAATAATAATTTATAATAATCAATTATATAATTTTTATAATTTTCCTGTTATGCTTTTACAGTCTATTCTAATTTTAAAAAATCCAAAATTAAATAGACAGAACTTTCTTTTAATGATTAAAATTTTTTTCAGAACTATTTAATGGACAGAAAGAGAGTCTTTTTTTTTGGTAAGAGACAAATATAGTCTTTCTCAAGTTCAAAATTATTTGATCGTGTTGCAACTATGTGTTCCTATTAAGCATATTCCTGTTGTACAACTTGAAGTAGGTGCATTGCACAACACACTGTGGCTGTTTTTCAATACTAGACCCACTGTCTCTTATTATACGTTTTTCTTTATGAAGTGCATTTTGTAAACAATGACGCAACAAAGAGTTGAGTTTCGTCATAACGTTTAGTTTTCATTTGGAAAAGAGAGGATAAGTTTGTGAAGAAGGAATCTTGATTCACATGTCTTGTAATTGTAACCTTCTTTGTTTTGAATCATTCTAAATTGATTACCTTGCACAGCTGTGTATGGCAACTGAAGTATGCCTATATTTCAGTTCTTCTGTCAAGTAGGATCAGTTTGTCAGATATAATACATAATTGTTTAATGGCAGGCCAAATTTTAAAATTCTATGGTAAATGGCTTACCTAATATGATTTGAACTTTAATTTTTGAATCCACTCAATTTTTTTTTGTTTTTTACTTTACTTTTTAACAACGCCCAATTAGTATATATTAATGTGTGTTTGGGAGGGAAAAAATTGAGTACACACCTAATCTTTGGCATAATGTACAAAGTGGTGGTCCCAAGACTTGAACCCATAACCCTAAGGTTATTAGGCCAAGTCTTAACCATTGAACCAATGGTCACCCCTATAATGACTGGGGAGATTGGATCGATTATCACAACAACTGGGGTGATTGGAGCGGATGTGGTCCACAAAATTAAGGCAGGATGGCTTAAGTGGAGGAATGTGTTAGAATATAATATGTAAAATGTTGCTTTAATAATTAGGTTAGTATAATAATTAGTATGCTTTAATAATGTACCTTTAATAATGTTGTTTGGTTTGTGCTTCTACTTTCGGTTTGTAATTGTTCTCCCTCTCCTCTATAAAGGAGAGAGCTCAACACACCATTAAAGAGATCAATCAATAATATCAATCAATAATACATCAATTTTAACATGGTATCAGAGCTATAGGTTAAGCTCTTGGTGCTCTTCGCCTTCTGGCGGGCGGCAACTTTGCCTTAACCGCCCGCCAGACCTCAACCAATTGAAACCTCCAACACATACCTCCTCTCCAATCACCGCCAATAACCACTGCAGCAACTCAAACCACTGCTAGCTCGAATTGACGCCAACTCTTCTCGCAACCAGTGTTTCATTTCGGCCTACTGCAGATACAGATTGCATCTTCGTCAACCAAAGCTTCGTTTGTTTGCTCACTGCCCGCTGCTGCAACTCCGGGCACCGCCGCCGACCTGTTCTAACTGTCTCGGTGCCGTGTATGTGTTCAGATGTAAGAACACAAGACATGTCCTCGATGGCCTCCCTTGTTTTCATCTCTGTTACATTTGCCACTATGTGTAAATCAGCAGCTCCTATATTTCTCCTTATATTTGCTTTTGCATTTAGATTGGAGTCTCCAAGCTTTAAACTTTTCGGTATCATTTTTATTATATCCATTGGAATAATGTTAACAGTTGCGAAGGAAACTGAATTTGAATTTTGGGGATTCATTTTTGTTATGCTTGCTGCTGTTATGTCTGGATTTCGTTGGACCATGACTCAGATTCTTCTTCAGAAAGAAGTATATGGTCTGAAAAATCCACTTACCCTGATGAGCTATGTAACTCCAGTGATGGCAGTGGCAACTGCTATGCTCTCTTCAAAAGCATACTACTACAGACTCTACATTAAGTTTTAACAGAAAAAATATTTTAATACTAGCTTAGCCATACACTTGTGTATGTTTGTACATAAGCCATTATATTAAATGTTTTAAGCAAACTAAAATGATCATGGTATGACATTATATACTTCTTTCCAAACTCCATACCGGTTGAGAGCTATGGTATTTTGAGTCTAGATGTCATTAAACCAAATTATACATAAGAGACTAGGGTAAATATGTAAAGTCATAAAATCATATAATTATGCTGATATAAACTGTACCTTCAATCCAACAGCAGCCAAAGTTTGTGAAACAAGGGTAGCGATTTGATTCTCAGACATGCTGGAATTCTCATACCTGTGAAAAACAAGAAAATTGGTCAAGATTTTAGTTGTGTTGGTCTTTTTACAAGGGAGAAATATAAAACAGAAAACTACACTTAGATTTAGGAAGAATATTGTAAAGGTTGCATCAAATTTGAATAAAACAATTTAGACAGTCTCTTACAAAAGGAAACCGACATTTTCGCGAACAGTTAAAGAATCAAAAAGTGCTGCACTCTGAAACACCTGTTACTCAAAAGAATACACATATAAATAATGACAGTAATTAAAAATAAAGTTTGAGATTATTATCAACAAGGTAAGCCAACAAAACTAAGATGTGTAAGTCAATTACAATTTACCATGCCAATTCGAAGGCCAGATATCTCATCATCGCTGATTAAACCATGTCTTCTTCTTCCTCGAATGAAAACCTCGCCCTGCTCATTAAAAAAGTAAAAATGAAAAATTGTCTATGTAAGAAAATCTGAGAGGTGCTTTATTAAGTTATAGAAACAAATTAATACAATATGTAAAATATATAACCAATCTGAAAAACGTGCTAAGGTAAATACCTTGTCTGGAGTAAGAAGCCCAGCCATGATCTTTAAAATAGTAGATTTACCAGTGCCAGAGGGCCCAATTATTCCAACAGCTTCCCCATGCCTAATCTATATAAGGAGCAAAAAAAAATATTAAAAAATATGTAACATATTTATGAAATTCAAGGAAATGCTAAATGCATAGAGAAACAAGTAGATTCGACCAATTCTTCTAAATAATATTTAAGATGCAACATGGGTGCAAGTTAGGGGTGACCATTGGTTCAATGGTAAAAACTTGACCTAATAACCTTGAGGTTATGGGTTCAAGTCTCGGAGTAACCACTTTGTGCACTATGCCAAAGGTTAGGTGTGTACCCAATCTTTCCCCTCCCAAACACACATTAATGCGTACTATTTGGGTGTTGTTTTGTTGTTTTTTTAACATGGGTGCAAGTTACATTAGCTTTAAACATCATTAGAACATGTATCTTGACATTTTTATGAGGGAAGAAGGTCTTAAACAAGTTGGACTGCTTGGATCCTATTAACCCTCTGCGCCAAAATAACAAATCATGCATGCGTATATGTATTGGTTATTTTCATACTAAACACTATTAGAAGTTGTGCTCAACACAAACATTTTCACCAAAACAACAACAAATCATGCATAAGTTTGTTTTTTTGTGAAACTAGAGATCATGCATGCTTTCCACGCATGCCTTCAAAGTATACTGATTAGCCTCCACATCAGTTTGCACCGCCATTTTTTGCTCCACCGACCGCATCGGAAAGTTCAACGGAGCAAAACCAGGGGCGCTTGGTTGAGGTTCACTGGCCACCGCACCAGTTATCTCTCTTGTTGACTCGTTGAGGTCGGGAAAGAGAGTGAGCAGACCACGGGACGAAGAGGCCATATTCTGGGTAGCTGAACGGGAAGACGAGGCCATGTTATGAGTTGCTGAGTGTTTCAGAGAAGGGTTGGTTACAGAATGGTTACAGAGTGTTTACAGAGTGTTTCAAGATTTGCAGCTCTTAGCGACAAGCTCTCAGAGAACGAAGAGGTTTCAACTAGTTTGTTATGCTTCCAAGCCTCAGACTTCGCTTTGGTTTATAAAGACAGAGACGACGAGGCCGACATGCGCTCTGTCAATCACGTGCATCGCCGCGTGTCAGGCGCCCCTTTTGATGGCTCGACGCTCTCTGTCGGGCACGTCTTTTGATGAAGTGGGCGCTCCTTTTGATGGCACGCCTTTTTATGGATTGGGCACGCCTTTTGATGGCACGCCTTTTGAAAGATTGGGCACACCTTTTGAGGGTGCGCCTTTTTTAGGGGTCCGACAAGACTCTGTAAACTGTCCCGACATTGATTCCGGTTAGCTCCTTCATGGGTCCGACAAGACTCTGTAAACTGTCCCGACATTGATTCCGGTTAGCTCCTTCATGGGTCCGACAAGACTCTGTAAACTGTCCCGACATTGATTCCGGTTAGTTTCTACAAGGGTCCAGCAAGACTCCGTAAACTGTCACAACAACTGTCACAGCATTGTCTGCTACAACGGTCCGACATGACCCCATAAACTGTCTTCTACATCGGTCCAACACGAGCCCGTGTCTTCTACATCGGTCTGCCATAACCATACAGTCTTCTACAACGGTCTGACACGACCATACAGTGTCTCCTATCCATTTTTTATTTTTCAGATTATTTTTCTGTTTTGTTACTCTCTCCAAACTCAAGTTGGTGGTTCTTATCCTCCTTGAGTTTGAGGGGGACTGTTAGAATATAATATGTAAAATGTTGCTTTAATAATTAGGTTA